GGAATCCAGTAGCGCCTTAAAGACTAATAAAATTTGTGGTGAGTCACAAGTGGGCAGTGGGGAGAAGTGGGCAGTGACTCACAAAGGCTCATACCCTACTACAAATTTTATTAGTCTTTAAGGTGCTACTAGACTCTTAGTCTTTTTTACTGCTAAAGACAGACTAACACAGTTACGATATGAAGTATACAATACATAATATTTGCCTAGTTCATCTAGTTTAGTGCCTTTTAATCTTTCTTGTAAACAACAGAGTCTCAAACAAAGAAGTTCTTTGCTCCCTAAGATCCTTTCATTAGAGATGCCAGGGTAAAACATGGGGAGTTTTATGTACAAAATGTATATTTTGATATTCAGCTGGGGTCCCCCCTCTGCCATAGCCCTCCCTGAGCTATAACCGTATGGCATGGTAGATTCTGAAAAGCAGTTTGAATTATCCCGGGTATCTTTTCCCGAAGAATCCAATCCACAGCATGGTTGCCATAAATAATTTTGCCTGCTGTGTTTCATATGAGGTTGTTGTATGTCATTCCAACAACAAGCAGAGGCGCTGCTCAACCCTACCCTGCAAAGAACCTGCCCTGTTATGTTGGCTGTATGGGTAGGTTACTACATACAACAACAGGTCAGTCCTACTTCTAAGAATATGGATCATGGTATGTGCTTTAATTTTGTAAGCAGATAAATTAAAATCAAAAGATGCTTTTTTGGTTATCATTGAATTAGCAAGCTGCAAAACAAATGGAGCTTCAAATATGCTTTTATAGCCCCTAACAACTGTGACTGTCAACACAAGATCCTTTTCACGGTCAATTCGCCACACATTCTGGGAGACCTTGGGCCTGCAATTATTCCATTTCCTTCCTTGCAAATGCAATTTCCACTTACTTTACTAGAATAAAAGGTGGGCCAAAAAAAAAAAAAGTAGCAAGGGTAGCAGAATTGTCTGATTAACATTAGCCATTAAAAGAGCGGGGAAATCCACAGACAAACAATGTTACATTTCATGGGAAACAACTCATCTCTGAACTAAACTGCCTTTGTTGACTTGCTAGTGTATCAAAAAACAAAGCAATGATAATGATGTCAAATTAAAGAAATTTAATTAGAAAACAGAAAAGTATAGATAATCTTCTGTCAAGGATGTGTGAATGAGTAAGTATAAGGGAGCAAACAAAGAGTGATTAGAGAAGGATCTGTTCTTAAAAAAATGTGCAACAGAATTAAATAAAGATATAAAGGTGAGAGGAAGAAAGGAAATCAATCTATTTCTTTTCTACAAATGATAAAAGCATCCGTAAAGGAATAAAGCAGCCCGCAAAAATAGATGTGAATTGAATTTCCACTTCATTTGTTAAGATTTACCCCTTTGAACTATGAGACGCAGACCTCTGAGAATAGGTGTTCCTTTTTTCCCTGACGGAACAGGAAATCAGAGGCTTAATTAACCATGATTATAACAGTTTGCTGATCTGATTTGTCTCACTTATTTCCCTTTTTCTTTAAGTGATAAACTGCCTGACATCCCGGAAAGAGAACTGAACGAAAGGTTTAGGGTAGTTTCTAAAAAGCTTGAGAATTGTTATAAAACAAACTGATCCTCAACCGGATCCATCTGAAGCAGGATTAACTCTGGTGATTAAAAGGCACGGCGAAAGAAAATGTACAGTCCACTGTACTGAGGATTTATTCAGCCAAACAGACCAATGCTTTAAAGTATTGTATCTCAACACCTCCAACCAGTTCAAAATTCTGTTTCCTGATTAAAGAGGTGCTTCCTGCAGCGACATGTTAGCCTTAGAAAAAAATGTACATTTGTCCTGGGGGATGTTTTGACACTGATTACATATATTTTCAGTTAATCTCTTATTTGCACTAGAAAAATTCTATCATTTGAGTTAGATAAGTTGCAGTTCAAAAATATTCTAGTATTCTAAGAGCCACAGCTATCATTTTGTTTTTAAACTCTGCTTTGATCACTCCCACATGGAATAAATTGGGAATGTGAAAAACCTGACACAAATAAAATAGGACACATTATTCATTTGATAGTTTAGGAAGTGATGTTTCTGGTTTTAAATCTTTGGAATTAGCAAAGCCAAGGGGTTTAGGTCATCCCAGCTGAGTGGAAAATCCAGGCTCTATCCAGAAGAATTTAAATCATTGTTTGAACTGCTGCTGTGATCCGCCCCGAGCCCGTTTGCAATGAGGGTGGAATATAAATTTGAAGAAAAAGACAGACAGATAGGTAAATAAATAAAAGAAGTGTTCCTTTCCAGCAAAGGATTTCCCCCCACATTTTCAATATTCACAATCCAGATACATGAGTGCTTCGGTCCACTTGTTGCTAAATTGTTGCTAGATGAACAGTGGCCGAATTAGATGTGATGAGGGAAACACTTGGGCTGGAGACATGTGGAGGTGGTAGCCATTTAAATTTAATAGAAGCAGCAGGGTGAAAGGCAATTAACCCTTTCCCTGTGGGCTATTTTCCCAGTCAAAATTGCCTGCCCTCACTGCTTGTTTCCTCTCAGGGCTAAAGATACATAGACAGAGCATCTTTCCCCTTGTCAGAGGAAAGGTGGAGCTTGACAAGATGTGACCTTGGGAGATATCTGAATAGGTTGCCTGTCATTTTAAAAACTGCAATTAGCAGCTGCAGGGGGATCAGATCAGGAAAAGGCTTCCCCTCCCAATGTCATTTCTGTGATCTCAATAATTCCCCTGGGGCTGCTATTTGCCCAGTAGGAAAAATGAAAACAACTGGGGTGGGGGGGTTGAAATTGCAAAAATAGTTACAGGGAAATAGTTACTCCCCAAAATTGGTCCTGAAACTGCTACTTGCAGTTTAAAAACACAGAGATTTGTACACACTTCCTAACACATACATTTAAGCTCTCAATTTTATCGGGCCACAAATCCAGGAAAAAAAACCTTCAAAGAAAGTTTAGAAAAGTTATTGAGGGCCAAAAGTTAAAAACAGAAGTAAGTAGAGACAAAAGAGTATTTATCTCAAAGACATATAAAAACCTTGTAGGGAGCCAAATAAAGCTATCCTCATGGCGTTGGAAAATATGGGACTACTATATCATGGATGAAATATCTGATGTAATAGCCTCAGTCAATGTTCCTCATAAGAAATCGAATCTCCACCTGAAATGGTTTCCTTTTCTAGAGTTCGTGTTTAATACTGAGCCTTCCAAATTCATTGTTCCTTCAAAGTACTATGAATTATTTCATCACATGTAACCAAATAAGTATTTTCTAAGTGTTACTTTATAGCTAAGCCTTGTACTATGGTATTTAAGTGTTAAATGTTTTGTATGTTGACTTGTTTTACAAAATAAAAAATTGTTATTTATAAAATAAAGCCCCATAAAATGTTCAAAGTGACAGATGCACAAAAAAGAACAGTGTATGACCTGATGTGTTTTGGCTCACAAGAGCATTCTTCAGAGGTCAAATAGTACAAAGTACACATTTCACCAAGCAACAAAGTCCCTGTAACACATGTAAGGCAATACACAAAAATGGAATGCTGTATAGAGAGATAAAAAATGTTTTGGATTAATATTTAATTACTCAATTGAAAATTCCATTCAATATTTTTTAAAAAACATTTTTTACTGTACCCAAATACAATATACTTACTTCCAATATGGAATTGAATGACACACCAAAAGATTTCTATTTGGGGCCACAAATATATCTGGCCTTGTGTCAGAAGTAGTTGCATATACTGGAAATAATATTAGTACCAATTTCTTTAAAAACTGGAGGTAAAAAAAGAAACATGAAAAACAATGTCTGTGCATGAGCAAATATTAAGAAAAATTTAGTTTGGAAGCCATTTTCGTTTGCTTTAGCTACCCAAAATGGTGCCAGCAGTGGTGCCAGTCACCAGTACTATAAGGAGAAAGAGGAGAAATTATGTGTGGACTGGAAGCAAGAGGAGGAGAGAAATGGGGCAAGAGGCAGTGGTAGGGTTGTGAACCTCCAGATGGTGGCTGGGGAGATCTCCCACTATTAGACTTTATCTCCAGGCAACAGAGAACAGTTCACCTGGAGAAAATGGCCATTTTGGAAGCCGGTCTCTATGGCATTATTTGCCACTGAAGAAGTCTCCTTCCCTAAAATCTCCAGTTATTTCCCAACCCAGAGCTGGCAACCTTAGGCAGCAGGGACTTGAACCAGTGGGGGGAGCTAGGCTAGCAGAGAGGGGGGATTTCTCCTACTATTACTTGCATGTGTACCCATATTGGTTTAAAGATAAGTTTATTCTTGGTTGCTCTCCCAAAAGTTAACCAATGCATTTATTTTGAGACAGCTGCACTTAAAAGCAGTTACTAAATTTGATTCAGCAAAGGCAAGTAAAAACTCTGGTCACCTCAAAGTGCCTCAACAAGACAATTCACGCAAAATGCAAGCACACTAAAGGGTGAAGCATGTACCTGTAAGCACAAAGGAACTTGCAGTGGACATCAGGCCATGGCTCTATTATGTATATCCACTGCATGGTTACAGACACACCATTCTTCTTCATAATTTATGCAAATAATACTAGTGTGGCTAATAAATATGTGTTTACGCAACAAAAACATCTGTCAAGTGAAATGAGAATAGGATATAAGATAAAATTAAACCCCATAAGAAAAATGGTGAAACATGTATTCAGTGTTAGACAGAGGCCTTTCAAATGAATAGTTCTGGGCAGTGCTTCATATACCATCCAGACATACGAAGAAGTTAACTGTGCCATTTTTTTTTCAACTTTCTCACCAGCAAAAGGTACCCATCTTCCAAGAAACACCAAACCGGCCATTGTGTAACAATGAGTGCTTGCAGGAAAGCTGTGGTTTCCTATCGCTACAGTCACAGTTGAGGCTTGCCATTGCCCACTATGGAGGGAATGAGGACTTAAGTGTCTTTTGTCTGTTACACATAAAGCAGTTCGACTACCGTAGCACCCCTGGTATGAGTAGACATCAAGAAACACTTACCGAGTAGTATCTGTGGTACCTGCGCCTTCAACCATTTTATGACATTGATCATCTGACTCTGAAGATTTGCGTCTGAATTCTGTCTCCAGAATTTCCTTGTTCGATGCAGACTGTGCTCCAACAGAACCCAACACTGGCATAGATTTGGATTCACAAGTAGCCAAGATTCCAGTTGGACCTTAAACCAGAAGAGTGGAGCATTTTTATTACTTATGTGAGCTGCATTATGCTAATTCACACACATTAACCCCAAAAGAGCTTTGACTGATCACTTTGCTATAGAGAAGATTTTTTAAATTCAAGAATATGTCATTAGACATTCGCCTTCACTTATCTTTCAAGGAACCAGTTGGGACAATTCTCCTACCTGTATTGCTCCTCTCCATATGATGAGGAGTGCACCCAAACTGGTTCACCTGTTCTGCTTCTGATGCTAGTGGACATCCACTTATGGGTGTAATGTCAGAACAGCCACATACACTAAAAAATGCTCATTGGCCCAGACTGCATGGTTAACTCGCAGATTCTATCCAAGATATCAACACATGATCTGGTCCTACACCTTTTTGAACATTATACCCAAGCACAGATATCTGTTGAAGTTGTACTGAAGGTGGGACATGCACCCCATATGGATAGTGTGGGAGGTACAGTCTCATGCTATGCTTTAATAAAAGTATTGTGAAATCTAGATGAAGGTTCTTATGTGAACTATGTGGAAGTACTCTGTGTGAAGTGCTCAGAGTGCTTTGCACAGAGAAAGGTTACAGAAACAATAAATAAACATCTATTTATCTAATAGAACCGTCTTTTTATTTTTCAACAGGACCATCTATACACAGCTTTTGTGATACCTAGTATTCTTGCACCCTTGATCCTCATATGATGAAAAAACTTCTCAGAGAAAAGGTGTATTGATTTGAAAGGGTAACACTGGCTTCAGTGTCACTGTTTAAACTCCAGAGCACCAGGTTGCCAAGAAAGATCTCATTGAACAATGCAAGGTGATGTCAGAGTGTAGCTATTATGAGAACATGGATCAACTGGGACAGCAATCAAAATTTCCTTAATTAATGAGGGCTGAAATGCTAAGTATTTCAAAGCTAAGGCTTTTAGTCTTTTGAAGCAGCTTTGCAGATGTAATACAACTCAACTGTGGGGTCTTAAAATGATCACTGTAACTTACTGCTGCTATCTTGCTCAGTCGTCACTTTTCTAAGCCGCAAGATTCTTTCTAATTCTGTTTCATTGCTGTCCGTGTCAAGGGATTTCAGGCTTCTTGAACTTGCAGATGTATTCAGTGTTTCCTAAAGTAGAACATTTTAAGAAAATGTCAGAAGTGCAACAGCCAAGAACAGTTGCTGTGATCCAGAAAGCAAGATTCACCCTACTGCATGAAAGGCATATTATATTCTAAAGGCTGGTGAAGCAAACAAGGAAGTCCCAGTATTAAACAATTAATAACAGAAAATGTAGTTATTCCCAACCTTTCTTGGATACACACTATCTGAACAAATGTGCTGTATGAACCTGGCAATCACCATGGTAAAGAGCCAGCATGGTAGAATATGGAGCTTGAATGAAGGAAGCCAATGAAGTTCACTGGATGTGCAAGTCGTTACCTCTCATATGATACTAGAGATCTGCAACTGGATTTCAATTCAATTCAATTCAAATACCTTTTATTGGCATACAATATTAAAAGCGTTTCCCAATAATACAATCCAAGAGAAATTATAAAATAGATAGTCGTGGCTATGTCAGGCCTAACTCAAGTTGTCACAAGTTAGATTTGACCATACAAAAGATGCCTGGGTCATAAAATAAACTGGCATTCCAAACTTTTAAACTTAAGTTTTTAAACTTATAAATTAAGAATCATTAATATGATCAGGGTTACTCTTCCATTTTATAAAACAATGGAGAAACTTAGCGGTGCAACTGGATTTCTACAGATATAGTTTTGCTATAAAGAGGTCCCCCCAATATCGAACAAGCTACAACACTGGGTAACACCTTCATGACATTTCCCCAGTTGGAAATGACTTCCTCCTGGGTTCCTTTTAGTCCTGACAGGGACAAAATGCAGGCACCATATGGATTCCTCTCCCCCCACAGGGGTAAAAGCAGCCTATGAGGGGCATTTGCAATTGGGGAAACAACACAAGAGCAAAAAGCTAACTTCCCCTTTCCCTGACTCATAATTCCTGCCCCCCCCCATGACTCAAAATCCCCCCCCCCCCCCCCATTTGCTTTTTGTGCCTAAATTATACACTGGAGATCTGATCACAGATCACTAATGTTGCTCACGTGGAAGAAGAGGAGGAGGAGGAGATTGGATTTATACCCTGCCCTTCACCTTGAGTCTCAGAACGGCTTACAATCTTCTTCCTTTCATCTCCCCACAACAGACACCCTGTGAAGTATGTGGGGCTGAGAAAGCTCCGAGAGAACTTCTCTTGGGAGAACAGCTTTGCGAGAACTGTGGCTGACCCAAGGTCACCCAGTGACTGCATGTGGAGGAGTGGGGGATCAAACCCAGTTCTCCCACGCACTTAACCACTACACTAAACTGGCTCTCAACTTAACCTATTTTACAGAGTTTTGATATCAGCCCAAACGTACTCTCTGTTCTGTTTCACGGGAAAGATTATGTTTAACCTACGTGTTCTTTTTGAATGATGCATAACAATGAACTTACTGTTCAATTTTATTTCAGGTATTTAGGAATTCAAGCCAGATTCTATAGAGAGATTCCTTCAAAATTAAGATCGTTTCAGAGGGTCGCCATATTGGCCTGCAGTAGAGCAGCTAGATTCGAGTCCGGTAGCACCTTAGAGATCACCAAGATTTTTGAGGGATAAGCATTTGAGAGTCAAAGCTCTGACAAAGGGAGCTTTATGACTACTGAAAGCTTATACCCGCCAGATCTTGTTGGTTTCTAAGGTGCTACTGGACTCAGTTCTAGCAATTTCAGAATTAAGTATCTGAAATCAGCAAGTCTATTCTATACCTACTCTTATACCAGTGGTCCTTTTATTTCCTACAGACAGGCCTGCAGACACAATATTGGAGCTGGCCTTGAATAAAACGGCCACTAATCCCAGGGAGGCAACAACCTTGGAATCTACCAATTGAGATTATTTGGAAATTACACCCTTTCCGTGCAAGTTCACCTTCTGATAAAGAGTTAATTATGATTTACTTTGCAGGGCTGTTTTGAGAATGACCTTGATGATCTGCAAAGATAATTGATAAAGTTAGGATGATTGGTTTGAATCCAGAAGAGCTTTTTGATATGGGTTTGAATAAAGCAAAGGCCCTGGTATTACAAAGACTGAGTGACATCGAATCTCAAAATGATGAAGCAATGCTCCCTATAAACTACAGCAGTTTGAAAACAGGGCCAAATTATACATCAGCTCCATACCTCTCAAATATCACTTATGAGAGATATAGATGGGCCTTTTCGAGCGCACGCTTTGATGCATTTCCTTTGATGCAGTACAATTTGGCAGATTTTCTCAGTTGCCACTGCAGAAGCACTATTGTCCCTGTTCTGGAAAAGTGATTGAATTTGTTATACATATTCTCCTGCATTGTGAATTTTACAAAGAAGAAAGATTGCAATTAGTTATTCCACTCCTCTCTAAATTCATACCACTGAAGTATTATATGAATTTTAGGTCTAAAGTACTTTGGAAATATCTCTTAGAAGATACGCAGAAATCTGTAACTTATGTGGTAGCAAAATTTTGTACTATAGCAATTAGAAAGCAGAAATGTTTGGAATTATCATAACAGTTTTTCTGAGCTCCGAGTTTTATGAGTATTAGATGGTTTTAAGAGAGGTCGATCTTATGCTGGTTTTTGAGTGTAATAAACATTGACTGACTGACTGACCTGGATGGAAGTTATACAACTATAAAATAATAATATAATTCCAAAGAATAGAGGTCGATCTTATGCTGGTTTTTGAGTGTAATAAACATTGACTGACTGACTGACCTGGATGGAAGTTATACAACTATAAAATAATAATATAATTCCAAAGAATTTGGAAAAATAGCAGCATAGTTAAATACAAGGAAAAACCTGCAAGGAAAAATTTGGATTTGACCAGTCATTACAGAGAGAAATCAAGCAATGTTATACCCCTTACTGATATAGGGCATGGTTCGGTTCATTGTCCAAGTATGTGGAAAAATGCATAACCCGGAATGATTCAGGTTCTACTGTACATGTTCTTCTTCCTACCACTGCACAATGCACATAGCTATACAGAGGGTCATGGAAGGTTAACAGGAGATTCTATACACCTTCCGTCTAGCTGGGCATACACTAGCTCAGGCTGATCTTAGCAGACGTATTACTACTTCTGCAATCTGATTGCCTGAGATGGACAGAGCTGCCCTGCATAGCAGAGGTTTGGGGGCGCAGACATGGAGGAGGGTGGCTGCAACATCCTGTACACCACTTTGTCATATCTGGGGAAAACCCAGAAGTTATGTAAGGTAGTTGTAGGAATTGCCAGAAAATCTATGGTAACACCATAGAGTTTCAAGCAATTCCTAGAGTTCCCCCTTATCATCTCTGGATTTGCCTGGAAGTGACATAGCGATGTACAGGACAACGACTTTAGCTTCATTTATTTTTCTTCTGCCACCACTTGGAAAGGCAGCAGGTAAGGACGGCTGCCCACAGGAGGCCTCCCATAGCAGGAGAGCTGGCAGCTCTAGGCAGAAAAATGTGTAATCGTCATTGGCCTGCATAAAATCACTGTCACTTCTGATAAGGCTGTAACAGAGTCAGAGTGACAAGCAGTGCAAGTGGTTTTCCCAGCTCCTGCAAGATTAACTGGTTGTAGGACTCAAGGTAATCTCAGCTCAAACTTACTCTCTGACCAACTCAGGCTTCTTAAGGCCTCTGGAACATTATATGATGATTCCATGAAGTTTGGCAAATCCTTCAAGCCCTGTCACCTACATTCCACCCTGTTTCCCACAGACCCAGCAGAAGGACAGAGAGAGTGTGGAAATTGTGCTTCCTAGGATTGCACACATCAGCACAGTGGGAAGAAAACGGAAAATGCAACATGCAGTTCTTAAAATTGGCACATCTTTTGGGACTCCAACAAAACAGCACTTAATTCTGGATGTTTCCTTCAATTATGTTAAATCCTACATTTTGTTAATATTTTGAATTTAACCGAGTGTGTATATTATTAACAAGGAACTCCTTGGCATTGTACTCATGCTACAGATCTGTTAGTAGATCAAATAAAGTAAGCTGTTTTATATCAAGCCTGAAATGGAACAAATTAATATCACTTTGTTTACAACAATTATATGGAAGTCTACAAGAAATGCATAATTAGCACAGTAACAATATGCATGTAAGCATGTAGTTTTACACCTCCCAATCCTATTTCTCCCGTCTTACTGTGCTAATGACTAGTCTTGAGATTACATTAGAAGCTGGTTTTATAAAGTGCTTCTTTTAATTCTAATACTCAAAAGAATTGTAAGGAGCAAGTTAGCTCTTATTATGGTAGGTATTTAGGACTTGCTAGATTCTTATTCAATCCAAGTCCAGTAGGGTTACTAACCTCCAGGTGGAGCCTAAAGTTATCCTGGAATTAAAGCTGATCTCCAGACTGCAGAGAGAATTCCCCAGAGGAAATGTCAGCTTTAAAGGCCAGATTCTACAGCATCACATCCCTGATGAGCTCCTTCTCCTCAAACTCTGTCCTCCCCAGGCACAGTCACCCAAATATCCAGGAATCTCCCAAGCCAGAGCTAGTAATAGGGTTGCTAGTCCCCAGGTCTGGGCAGGGGTTCCTCTGGTTTTCGGGGCTTCTGCCTGCTGCTGGCCAGCTGGCCGCCGGGGGAAACCCTGCCCCCAAACAGCCACGTCCCCAATTTGATGATGTCACCAAGAAATGACATCATCACGTTGGTGACATCTGGGGGGGGCGCTTTGGTTTGAGGGCAAAATTCTATGGTAAATTTGCCCTCAAACTATAGTTTTGCCCTCAAACCAGAGCATCACCAATGCGTGACGCTACCACCCCCTCCAGGAACACCCCCCAAATCCTCCTCTCGTGATGGTAGGACCTAGCAACCCTAGCTGGTAATCCTAAAGTACAGAGCATAGTAAATAAAAACATTTGGTTTATCTAGCATTTTTGTTCCACCCTTCCTTTTGCTACCTGAAGAGCATTTGTATGTTTGAGTTATCTGTAGCCCTCACCTGGAGAGTGGTAACCATTGTTACCCATTCTCCTCTCCCCTATGAGGTGTGTTATGCAACTGAAAATTCCAACTGTCTTGTGGGGGGGGGGGAGTTTGAGGTATGGAATGGACTGAAGTCCAATCAGCTTCCATATGCAAAAGACCAGGTTGTCGCAGCAGTTGTGATGTGGGCAGGACCCGGGCTTTGCCTTCTGATTGGTGGCGATATATGCTGAGGAGCAGTGCCATCAGCCATACACTAAGGGAGTGCATTTTAGAATTAGAACTTTGGCACCCACTATTCAATTATATATAAGGAGAGATAGGTAGGGGGGCGTTACTTGCCAGGAAGACCTAATTAGAGTCAAGATGCCTAAGTAATTGAGCAATAAATACATGGAAATAGCAGTAAGCTGGTATACAGATAATAAAGGAGTTAACAACAGATGTAAAACTAAGTTTGAGTCCAGTGGCACCTTTAGAAGAGAAGAAGAGATTGGATTTATACCTCGCCTTTCACTCAGAGTCTCAGAGTGGCTTATAAACCCCTTTCCCTTCCCCTCCTCACAACAGACACCCTGTGAGGTAGGTGAGGCTTAGAGAGCTTTGAGAGAACTGATCTTTCAAGGACAGCTCTGACAGAACTATAGCTTGCCCAAGGTCATCCAGTGGCTACAAGTGGAGGAGTGGGGAATCAAGGCTGGTTCTCCCAGATTAGAGTCCGCGCACTTAAGCACTACACCAAACTGGCTCTCTTTAAGACCAAGAAAGTTTGATTTCTGGGTATAAGTGAAAACTGAGTTACTTAATATGTGTAGTCAGATAAGAAGCCAATATCTCTGTTAAGTCCTGGGGGTTCCATTGCTCTGAGTGTTGTAATAATTTGTAATTCAGTAATCTCCTATTCCCGTCTGTTTCTGAAGCTCTTTTGCAATAAAACAGCTACTTTAAGATCCCCCACTGAATGTCCTGGAAGGCTGAAGTGTTCTCAGTCTTGTGATTCTTGATGTCAGATTTGTGTCCATTCATCCTTTGGCACAGGGTTTGACCTGTTTGTCCTATGTAGAGAACTGAAGGGTACTGGTGGCATTTAATGGCATATACAATGTTGGAAGATGAGCAAGTGAATAAGCCTGAGATGGTGTAGTTGATGTTGTTAGGTCCAGTGACTGAGAGTTGTCTGGGCCTATGTGACAGCAAAGTTGGCATCTGGGTTATTGCAGGCTCTGGTATCAATGTCCATGTTCAAATTAGATGTTGTATTACTAAGGTTACCTAAACTTTCTGGATTACTGGGGATTTGAACCTGGTTCTCCCAGCTCTTTATCTGACATTCCAACCCACTACACCACAATGGATCTCATTCAGTGACTCTGAATGACTACCCAAATCCATCCATCTGCTTTCCTATAAAACAACTTTTTCACCAAATATGCAAAGAAGAGAGATTTTTCCTTACCAGAATTCCCTTCAGCTCTTTCATTGCATTCTCTGAGGCCTTGGGGACTTCTGGCTGTAATTATAAAACAAACAAACTTTCATCTAGGTTGCTTGTTGCTGTTTTTTTGCAGACACTGATCAAAGTATTTAGAAGCATGTAAGTAGATAATCACATTATGGTGGGAAATTGCAAGCGGTGGCATTCCACTTAACAAGGCTCTGGTCTGCACATATGGGCGGAATAAGATGGTAGATGGGGCTATACCATAGTTTTAATGCTCCCACTATATGAAAGGTTCTATTTTCTGCCTTCCATGCTAATTTTTCACTTCACAAATTTATTAATGTAAAGAAGCGTTGAAAAATGTTATCCTTCACTTGTAGTACAAAGTTGTACAGTCCACTTGATGGCTCCCTGCCCCAGCACTCATCACCACCACATTCTGATCCCTCTGTAGACCATGCCAAAGCCTTGGAAATGACTTTGTTTTAAAGTACTCAGTGACAGATTGGATTGGAGGAATATAAATGGAATGAATCTTAACAGTGCAAAGCTACTGGAGGTGGGGGGCTAAAAACAAAGAAAAGGCCTAGGGCAAGAAGGGAGGGAAGAATTTAAAAAAAATCCTTACTCTCCATATAGTCTGGCTCCATCTATGGGGGGGGGGTGAGCGGGTGGAAATGTTGGGAGATGCAACCACAGATCTTAGTGTCATATACAGTTGGCCTTAAGACAGCAGAACTTGTCAAATGCTTATGATCTGTTCAGAGACTTCAGCTAGGGTAGGGAGGCAAGTGTCCACAGCAGGCTACTCCCTCCTTTCTTTGCTGCTTAACATAATCAAACCCTTTTCTCCTTAGCCAGCCTGTGCTTCATTCATACATGCTGCTTTCTGTCAATGCTATTTCATTTTCATGTGCACTACAAATGGAACAGTCTGAAGAGATACTGGAGACAATTCTCCTGCACACACACACTATTCAAGGAGGGCCCTAGAGGGAATCTTTGCCTGGATGCCCACAATGGTTCTTAATAGTCTCAGAACAAGTTATTTACTCCTGAGGACCTTCAGGCCTTCTCTACTGGAGAAGGACATGGCAGATAGGCCCCAGAAATAAGAGAGATACACAGTGCAACAATTTCTTCACAAAAACCATTCCCCCTCCCCCAATACACACGTTTTAATTGCAGGAGCTCCTAATGACAAACCTTTCTCTTAGAACGGCTGGCCTGATTAACAGGTCTAAGGTGAACCCCCTTTTTAATTCTATCCATCATTTCTTCCACTGCTTGTCTCTTCAGGTCGGTTACTTCTGTTTCCAAACAAATACAGGTCAAATGAAAAACAGCGAAAGTTCCTGTTGTTAGAGAACATACCACTTCCTTTTAATTTGCCTTACACCAGAATACCAGTGAATACAATGAACATGGGGTGGGATGGGGGAACACTCTTACTCATGTCATAACCTCTAATGCTGGATTTTAAAATGCCTTGCTTTGCTTCTCAGAACTTTGATTTTCAAAGTATGTCACAGGAACATGGACAGATTGCAAAATCACAGATTTAAAAGGATCAAATGCTCATTTTGCCTCACTCTTGCTGTGAGGTGAACCTTCCAGCCCACCAGGGACAAATGCCACTGAGGATGTCATAAGTAGAAATCACCTGCACTGTTGAGGAAGTGTTACAGAACAAACTGCTGTACAGGTGAAGTGCTCAACTACTAGCTGTGATGATGGGAGGCAAGGTGGGAAAATGAACTCCAGTATAACTTCCAGAGAATGGGGCCACAGATGGGTCCTCAAAGGCAAAAGTTCCTGGCAGTTTACATTACTGTTTAGCTACATCAGGGTAATATTATTGAAGGTAAAGGTAAAGGTTCCCTTGCTTGAAAGCCAGTCAAGTCCAACTCTAGGGTTGCGGTGCTCATCTCCGTTTCAAAGCCGAAAAGCCAGCGCTGTCCGAAGACGTTTCCGTGGTCATGTGGCCGGCATGACTAAACACCAAGGCGCACAGAACGCTGTTATTATTGAAAGCTAATACTAAATAAGCACTTTGATCTACTGCTAAGCTTTATCTTTGTAGTCGGCAAGTGGACCCTGAAAGCGTTGTTGCATTGTTTCCCCACATGCTTCTTGTACACAACACATTTGTGGGATGTTAGAATCTCATTCATTTCAGTTTGACCTGTTAATTTGGCAGTACCCTACTGAGATACTGAAATGTTTAATTTACTTTTGTGCCAAAGTAGCAAATACCAAGCACACTCTGGACACATCTACTACCTTCACTAGATTTGGCACATCTATTACTGTACAGATGAAGATGGGAAAGAAGGGTATTAAAAAGTGCATTAAAATGCTTGCAACTTTAAGACTGTAAGCAGACCCAATCTTTCACAGTGCTGCAAAGAAAAAGGGGTTTTCTACAGACTGATAGTTTCAAAGGAAAGGACAGAATCAGTTTCAAATGAATAAAGATAGAAAGATACAATATATTAACACCCTCCTTTTACAAAATGAAATGAAAATAACAGCTTAATCTCCTTCTCCAACCACATTAGCCCCATTTTTAACCTTAACAACTGAAAGCCAACCACAGTAGGAAGATCTGCCCATGCTTCCAGCAGACATTTGGGTAGAACACTGAAATAAGTACAATTTGCCATTGAGCAACACACTAAATGGTGTATATTGTTCACACAGACGAAATACGCAATTTCCAGCTGAGAGAAGAAATTAAAATGAAGGCATATTAGAGATCACTTAACACAGATCAGTTCCCCATAGCTGTCTTCAACCAGTCTGTTGTACTCACAGCCATGGTGGTTAGGAAGCATGGAACTTCTGATCATTTTAGTGTAGGTCTATGCGGTGGCTCAAGTGGTTAAGACACTGAACTGCAGGCTGTGGAAGGTCAGTAGTTCAGCGGTTCAAGACCCGGGTGCCGCAAGACAGGGTGAGCTCCTGTCTCTAGTTCCAGCTCCTGCCAACCTAGCAGTTCGAAAGCAAGAAATTGCAAGTAGATAAATAGGGACCACTTCGGTGGAAAGGTAACAGCGTTCCGTGCGCCTTGGTGTTTAGTCATGCCGGCCACATGACCACGGAAACGTCTTCAGACAGCGCTGGCTCTTCGGCTTTGAAACGGAGATGAGCACCGCAACCCTAGAGTCGGATTCGACTGGCTTTCGAGCAAGGGAACCTTTACCTTTACCTTTATGGGTGAAGTAAAGATATGAATCCACCTCAGAACCGGTGAGTGGCAGTGTTGCAGGATTAATTAAGACAAAGTACAAGGAACCTTTACCTTTTTTTTTTTACAAGGTCCCAACATGGTATATAAATGGTCACAGTATTAAATGCGTTGCACTGATTTGTGAAAGAGGACAAATGAAGTAAGTCCTTGAAGGGAGTGCTACCCTGGTCCCTATAATCTAGGAAGCCTAGATTCAAATCCCTGTAATTAACAACAAATCACAAGTTAGCTGTGGAATAAGCAGCATCTCTGGAGTTTAGCTGTCCAGCTCTAAAATGAGAACATCATCCTGAACAAGATAGTTATGAGTGCAAGCATGAATAATGATTGAGAGCCTTGCACACTAGAAATATCATACTGATACAGAGGAACAATCTTGAGTTATTTTTCATCCCCCCCCCCAAGAAGTAAACCTTTATAGCACAAGTAAAACTAAAAAGCCCTTTCTCAAATGAAGGCAAAGAACTTCATATGAATATGCTTATGTTTAAGGAAAGAGGGATAAAGCCATTTAATTATAGCACAGCAATTAATTACATGGCAAAGAAAATTCTGGGCCATGTTATTCAGACCGATGTACCATAAACCTCTCTCTCAATCTCCTTCAGAATATTGATGATCTACAGAAAAGTGTTTGCCTGGGAAATTAAAGCCTGACTTTAAATAAGTGTGCAATACAGACAATCCGCTTTCAACATAAATACCTATTTTGTCTGTGAAGAATAGAAACTATGGATTTTAAGCCCTTAATGAACATCCAAACCAAGCCAGAAGCTGTATACAATAACTGGAGTGAGAGACAGCTGTTGCAATTTTAACAACATTTCACAACAAGCAGTTTACTGTGAGTGTTAGGGAAGATCAGAGCTCCTAAAAATGACACATTAAAGAACAGTCAGTAACATTAAACAACAAAAACAACAACATCACCATGGTCTACACTCACAGAAGATTTTCTGGAGGGTCAATGGAGGGCTGCAGGCCGGGGACCACAGTGCAAAGGGGTACAGTTTATATTCTAGCAATCCTAAAAAGGTCTATCCTACTCAGGACTATTCAGTTGGGCTTGCTCCCAGGAATGTGTTCTCAGGATTGCACTGTAACTCTCCAAGCCAGACATCTATGTTTTCAAATATTGTTGAATTAGTGCACATTCATGATACCTTAAAGTTATCAGGGCTAAGCAGAAAAGTCATCCAACTGAGTGATAACTGAAATCAAGATTCCAAGAAGCTGTAAATATATGTGTGGCCTGCATGACACTGGTTCAGACTCAGGTGTATGAGTCTTCTGCTTACAAAACAAGTTATTGTAGATTCAATGTCTTTTTACACTACCCATTTTTACTCAATTTCATGCTATTTATATTTCATAAACATGCAAAATGAGGGCCATGACCTGGATAGCTAGGCAAGCCCAATCTCATCAGATCTTGGAAGCTAAGCAGGGCTGACCCTGGCAAGTAATTGGAAGGGACCTCCAAGGAATACCAGGGCTTGGGATGCAGAGGCAGGCGATCAAGCCACCTCTCTGAAAAACGTCCAAGCCCCCAGCAGGAGTTGCCAGAAGTCACCATGACTTCCAAGCATGCAAGCACACACACATATGCACACACACACAAACACCCTCCAAAAAATGTAACAAGAGGGTGGGGTCATTTCACTGGTATTCAGAGGTTTGCTACATCAAAATGTTAAGCCTCCCTTTGTTCCTCATGGCTAGTACCCATTGATGGAACTATTCTCCATTGAATGCCCAAATAATCAATGTAACATTTATTACTTTCCCGTCCTTCTGTACATATGCTGGCTAGAAAATCAAGGTTACATTTGGATTCCTGAAGAAGTCATAGGTGTATGTGTATGTCATCCCGAAATGGAACTTTATCTGAGTTGCATACTCTGTCTGGGATTCAATTTATGTGGAATCCTGGGTAGCTGTGACTCCTGATTCCCCTTTCATCTTCCTTCCAACTAGTCATCACAGATAAGAATAATCGCTGTTGAGGTCTGCTAACCTGATCTGTACTTAATAGGATGGTTCTTAAAATGGAAGTTTTGTTTACTTAAACTAAATGCTTAGAAGCCACAGACCCTATTTAAATATGCTTGGCAAAGGATTCATTTCACTGGAGAGAGAATGAGGAGTACCTGATTCTTGTAGAGGTGCCTTTTCTTTCTTGGTTGTGCTGCTGTTTGGGTGAGACTTCTTACGAATCATTGACATGAGGGACCTTTCACAAAGAATGTCGGAGACAATTATTAAATTTTTCTCTTCAGAGCAACAACTATATTTTCAGACCCTGCTTCAGGTCTTTAGGTTCCATGGTGCCCACTGATTTGAGAGGAATACAAGGGATTGGGACCCATTCGTGACATTTATTGTAAAAGGAGCCAGATTTCACTGATGAACAGCTCATTCTCTTATTGACAACAGTGTTCAAACACTTCCAGGCAGAGACAGAAAAGTCACACCTCCTTTAAAAAAAAACACAACAACCACCCAACATATTATTTATTTCTCTATTGCTGTTGACAAAGCACAGTGCAAAACACTCAAGATCTAAATATTAAAAGGTAACACAGCACTGTGACATGTGTGACAAAATAAAGCCTTCTCACACAATAAAAATTGAAGGGTTAGAAATGTTAACATGACGCATTACTCTCCAGAGAACAATGCTACGCAGCAGGGTGCCTCTATATTGTCCCCTCGTTTCTACAGTATGTATTTGGTAGAATAGGGCTACTGGTAAACAAACAAAGCAAGAATGGAAAATAAAAAACCCTCACAGTATCTATGCTTTCTACAAATGTACAAAGCATGATATTAATTTTAAACAGGCACTGCCAAGTCAATATTTGACCAGATATGAGGGGTTTGTTGTCATTTCTTTCTTTGATAAAAAGCTTTTAAAATGCCTAAAAGAAAAAAGTTATTATTATGTATTTGTACCAAGACGCCATAAGCACCTTTCAGAATGCAAAATAACAGGCAAATGAATAAATAAATTCAGTGATCTTGAAGCAACCACCGTAACTGCTTATAATGTTAGAGGATAAGCATATTTTAGAACTGTAAGAACTCTTCCAATGTGTAAAAGCTAACCTGTGTGACATTACGCTGATTAAACAGAAATTGACCAATTTTTGTTCTCTGCATTAAAGGCTCTTTCTGCGCAATCACACAAAGTGTGCCCCAACCATATTTTAGCCTTTGTGCAATTCTTATTCAAGCCCTGATCCATTGACAATAGCACAATATCCATTCCACATATAATGGATATGGAGGAACAACCACAATGCGGTCTCATTTGTTTACATATGCACATAGCTTCCAACGATTTAACGCCTCTCCCACAAACAAAAATAGCATGAAAGTGGCAGGGCAGTGATAGCCTTCCTGCTTTTTAATTAAGTAAGTTCTCCCAGCCTTGCCAATAAGTTCACAGAAGTTACTAGCTCACCAAGTTCACTGGGATACCTCCATAAGTATTTATGCTAATCAATTGTGGCACATGGATAGCCTGAATGAATTATACAAAACCCAAACACCAATTCTCTTCCAGCTGGCAACAGCTTCTTAGCCAGGAAGCAATCATTCTTTATAATAATGGCCTCTCTGCAGCTCTCAATATTCCATGCCTCCTGAAGTATATTCAGTCCTTGTTAAGAGTTTTTAAAATCTTGTTTTCTTTTTATTTCATTTAATATACAGTCATGTTCATTGCATATCTCAGGACTACCCAGTAAGTAGAAATCCCCACCTTGTTTATGAGTAGTGTGTGGCTTTGCTGCTTTTATCATTTTTATGAGCTAATAAAGGGGAGGGGAAATCAATTTCTCAAGTCCCTAAGACCTAGAAATTTGGGAGGGGGAGAAGGGGGATTTCAAAATTGCTTTCATCTTCCTGCGTTTCCTCAGAGTCACCTAGCTTGTTCTTACTTAATTACAAGACTGGATGCTTCAGTATAGTAATAGCATTGATTTATTTATATTACCTATGGTCTGCCTTTCTCACTTGGACTCAAGGCGGATTACACAGAGTGTAATTGGGACATTCAATAAACAATGCAACAGGATTAGAACCAACCAAAAGTTTAAAAACAGAATTGAAGCAAAGCAGAATTATTAACACGACTCAATTAAACAATGCAAAATTCCATAGTAGGATCCTAGTTCCAGCAAGATATACACATTAAATGATGCAGAATTCCATAGTAGGGTCCTAGTTTCAGCAAGCTATACATAATAGTATAGAACAGCCTGTAATAATTTTTCCAAGTAACTTTGTGTATTATTTAGTACAATGCAACTATATTACTGAGAATTAAACAAAACAAAGATTCAACACATTTCATTAACAAAATCAGCCCTCTGAAACTCAACCCACAGGACATACTCGTCAGTTTTGATGTGGTATCTCTTTTTACCAAGGTTCCGGTAAAAGGCACATTTGCGCTTGTTAATCAGATTTTTCTGGAAGACATAAAAGCCTTATTCCACCATTGTTTGACAACCAGTTACTTCCAATTGGATAACGAATTTTATGAACAGATGGATGGGGTTGCCATGGGGCGCCCTCTCAGCCTGGTTATAGCAAACTTCTACATGGAGCATTTTGAAAAAGCAGCTTTAGAATCTGCACCCCACAAACCTACAGTCTGGTTCCGGTACAAAGATGATATCTTTATCATTTGGAGCCATGGAGAAGTAGAATTCATGGAGTTTTTAGACGACCTCAACAACATCCACCTGAACATACAATTCACCATGGAAAAAGAAATCGAGGGTAAACTCCCATTTCTAGATATCATGGTCATCAGCAAAGCTAACCTTCAATTAGGTCACAAGGTCTACAGAAAACCAACTCACATGGATCATTATTTACACAAAAACTCCAATCATCAACCTCGGCAAAAAAGAGGCATAATCAATTTTTTTTATTAAACCAAAGGTCTCCCACAGAAAAAGTGTTTTTGCCATATATCAAAGCAATCACTGATCAGATGGGAAAACTTATGAAAAAACACAACCTACAAACAGTATTCACATCCACCAGAAAAATACAACAGATGCTACAATCGGCAAAAGATAGAAGAGACCCCTCACTTCTGCAGGAGTATACCGCATACCCTGCAGTTGTGGACAAGTTTACATCGGGACCACATAGCATAGCATTCAGACAAGAATAAAAGAACATGAGATACACTGCAGACTGGGCCAACCTGGAAAATCAGCAGTGGCTGAACACAGCCTAACTCAAACAGGATACAGTATCTTATTACAACACTGAAAGGCTGGACAACACATCCAATTACCATGTCAGATTACACATGGAAGCCATTGAAATCCATAAACATAAACACAATTTCAACAGGAAAAAGAGAGTTTAAAAATAAAGGGCATGGTTTCCTGTCCTGAAAAACACAAAAGGCTCTACATCTGACAATAGCACTACAGATAAGATTAGAATTTCAACAGCCAATCCATATGCAAAAGAACCTTCTCAGGAAAGCCTCTATTAGCATATCACAGCCTGGGGAACTCCTACAAGATAATGGCTCAGCCCTACCCCACCTTTCTGAACCTGCCTACCATTTTTCTTCTCACCTTGACACAGAGAGTACTCCATCTTTCTGTGTTATACCTCTGAGGATGCCAGTCACAGCTGCTGGCAAAACACCAGGTCCTACAATGCCAAGACCACAGCCATACAGGCCGGAAAATCTACAACTAACTAACAAACAAAACAAAAGTTACCCAAACAGCAAAGGCTGAGGCAAGAACTGGGTTCATATTACTAATGTCACAAGCAATATTCAATATCTGTTTGTACAGCAAAACAATCCCATTCTAGGCAATGGGGACACCAGCACTGGGATGGCCATCCTCAGGTATCATCAAAAATTGAGCACCCCTAAGAGTTCACTACTGGATCTTAATCTGCTGCTGCAGAGAAACAGCAGCAACACCCACTGCCATGTGCTCGCATTTCCTTAGGTTGTGATAAGAACTGGTTTCTCCTTTTTGAGCACCCACCTTCCATCACAGTAGGTGGCAGTGACTCACTTTTGTCCATCACTTAGGGGGTGAAAATGTCTACACCTTGTCAATGAATCACCACCAAACTAGGCAAGTGGGTGGCAAAGAGCAGCTGCTGTCCATTACTCACCTGTCCTCTTCCCTATAAGTGGATGGGTAAGTCAGCAATTGGCAACAGCTGCAAAGAGCAGCAGCTACCACCACCGCATATCCCCTTCACAGTGGACAGGAAGATAGGAGACTTTGGATAGCTGCTATCCAAAAAAGCTGGACTTTAAAACAAGACTTGCAGCTACATCCATGCAAACATCATTTTCACAGAATACTGCTTCTCTTTAGTAAAAAATGACAGACAAAGAAATATGAGAGCACAGCAGCAGGTCATCTATGGAGCAAGCAGAGCAATGTAAATATTTAGGGGTTATAATTCAAGCTAATCTGTTTTGGAAGGTGCATTTGAACTCTGTTATAGGAACAGCCATGAGTACTGGGAAGGCTATTTCAAGATTTTATTATTCCTCTGGTGGACAATATGTTCCTGCAGCAGTTAAAGCATTTAATGCTAAAGTTTCTGGGCAGTTATTATATGCTGTAGGGGTTTGGATTAGTGTGGTAACAGATAATATTAATTATATGTTACCACACATCACTAAAATTTTTACACAACAATCTGGAAACTCCGGATCGTTCTGGTCATAAGATATACCCATCAATTGTATATGTTTAACTTTCAGCTCTGTGTGTAAAAAGTTTTAAGAGTCTGATATTTGGATAATTTCTTTTTTATCTTTTTATCTTTTACTAAAGTGTACACCATTGTAAATATCTGTATTTTTATAACAATTTATTTTGTTAGTTTGACCCGCCTAGATCCCTTCCAGTCCAACTTTCGCCCGGGTCACGGGACAGAGACAGCTTTGGTTGCTCTCACAGATGATCTCCGGAGGCATCTGGATCGAGGCGGAGTGGCAGTGCTGTTGCTGTTGGACCTGTCGGCCACATTCAACATGGTCGACCATCAGCTACTGGCCCATCGCCTCGCTGGCGTTGGGATTCAGGGGCATGCCTTCCAATGGCTCGTCTCCTTTCTCCAAGGACGGGGACAAAGGGTCGCACTGGGGGAACAGCTTCCCCAATGGCACCCACTTGATTGTGGAGTGCCTCAGGGGGCTGTGCTATCCCCGATGTT